TGTGGTGCTGGGGATCGAACCGCGGTCCCTGTGCTTTGCCAAGCTTGTTTCAAGTAGGTGCTTTAGACCACTGAGCCATCTCTCCAGCCCCCCAACATTACTTCTTCATTTATGAACTGAAAACTATTATGGAAAGAGAGAATATCATATCATACCATGTGTTGGGCAACTCTGAAATACAAATACTAGGAGTAACATGACAGATACTTTAGAAAATTTCAGAATAGTGACTTAGTGCCTTGGCAAAGATGACCAAGTATGATCATGATGCTGTGGGTATTATTTGAGCTATTTTTATATATAATGAAATTATATATAATGCCACAGGCTGTGTCATACTGTGCCTCTACTTCCTGCTGGGGCAGGAAGAAAGGAGTTAGGCCCTTCTTCTCTGTTTCACAGGGAATTCCTGTCCAGCTGACTGCATGTCATCATATGACTCTATATATAATTTTTGGTGCTCCGATTGTCCCTTCCTTGGTCAGGGTGTCTCCAATCAGCCCAGGATTCTTTTGCTCAATTCAGATGGGAATCATGAAATAGCACTGTCACCATCAGATGACAACAGTTGACATGGCCAACAGCCAGTTACTGTCACTGCCAGCCCTCATCAATGCCAGCCTGTGCTGGGCACTGTAGGTTCACTCTGCCAGGTGTTAAGTCTTGGAATAAAAGTCTGCAGTAGAGTTGCAGGGCTTTTTCAGGCCATACTACCCAAGTAATAACTCATGAGTAGATTTATAGGAATATCAAAGTGAAAAATCATAGGAATGCCTGGAAAGTGCCATCTAGATCACAACTCGTAGGTCTATGTCAGTGAAAATGAGGGCTGACACCAGGGAATTTTCTGGAAGGCTTTTTGGGAATGTTCAGTTTACTGACAGGGGATCTTGATCCTTCTGTTCCTGATCTAGGCTACTCCTGGATGCTCTGTTTATTCTAAAACAGGCAACAGTACAGAATTCAGTGGCAGAAGTTGGGGAAGAAGGGGCCCCACACAGCCCCGAGCTGCGCTCAGGTTGGAGGGGAGAATGGCAACTTGATAGCTAGGGAGAAGTCGGAAACCAACTTCCCATCCATTGGGGCACAAGGGGCAGCCCAGGGGAGAAAAGGGGAGAATTATGCTGGCCACAGGCTGTGTCACACTGTGCCTCTACCCCAGCTGGGGCAGGAAGAAAGGAGGTAGGCCCTTCTCCTCTGTCTTACAGGGAATTCCTGTCCAGCTGACTGCATGTCATCATATGACTCTAGGTCTTGGATGAATTCTTTGTTTTCTAACACAAAAACATTCTCCAGGCTCATTATATATTTCTTGTTCTTAAACTGGGATTTATTTAAATAAGTAATGTTTAGAGATCACACTCTAGACTCTGAGCTCATTGCTTCTGGATCTTGTGCTTCTGTACCTTTAAAGTGGAAGAATTAAGAGGAAAAAGTATTATGAAAATAGCATAAATTCTTTCTTAGGTTATACATCACTGTTTGTTCAGCCTCCAGGACCACATGAGGAAAGAGGTGCTGACAGATAAAGACTAGCGGAGTACTTTTACTAAGCCTCTCCAAGACATCAAAAATAAGGCATTCTTCCTCGGAACTCCTTCAGTGATTTAGGAAAGCACATTTGGAAGTCATGAACACTACCGTTTAGTTCACCACTAAATTAGTCATCTTTTTGTTGTTGGGACAAAATACTTAACATACACAGCTGAGAGCTGGGAAGGCTTATCTTGGCTCATGAATTCACAGGTTTCAGTCTGTGGTCAGCTGGCTCTCAGGCACAGCAGCATGGTGGAAAGGCAATGTGGAGCAAAGCTGCTCACCTCACGGAAGGTAGAGAAACCGAAATATTCAGAGGACAAGGGGACGTGGGCATACGATATATCCTTTAGAAGGACTCTACCTTTTCCAAGTAAGGCCCACCTCTTAACAGTCCATTCATCAAATGAACTTGTCACTAGAATAATTTATTGATGGAGTTGTCCCTCTTGGAGTAAAATCACCTCTGTATGACCCATATCTGAAATCTGTTACAATTGAGATCAAACTCTGTATGGATAATACTTCATATTCAGCATTCAGATAGTACTGCCATAGAAACCAGTTAGTATTACCTACACTGGTGACTTGGAAAAGCATGGGCTCGGCTCAGAACAGCAGTGATCAGCTGTGTTTATTTATTATTCTTTAAGATAAGATTAAGAGACCACCAACTGGCTTGAGTGCTGGCTTGAGGTCCCAGGGGAACAAGGAGACAGGCAATGGGTTCACAAGGTCTTAAAATTTGTACAAGGAAGCTACTACAGTCGAACAGTTTCCATTAGGTTGGAGATTAGGGTGTTTCTGATGGAGCGGTTGGGTGCAAATTTTGAATAGACTAAGAAAAATCAAAGTAGGAATGCATTTAGTTTAGGAGATACATTTATATGGTGTGAGCCAATAATGAGTATGGTTTAATTTTTACTAGACCTGCATATAGGCACAATTTTTTGGAATAATTATACCACCTGTTGTGTTTGGTTGTGAGTTTAGCAGAACACCCAAGTGATGAGAAGAGTGAATCAATGAAGACATTAGGAGTGATTTTAAGTTTCTTGTTGACTGAAAACAAAATACTGACATTGTAATGATAAGATAAAACTGTAAGTCCTTATACGTATGACAGGATGAAAGTTTCATAAGAATAGGCTATGGCTTAAAAATGCAGTTTTCCACATCATGCAAATCACCTCCCCCAGTGCCCCTCCTCTGCCTCCAGACTGGTGTTGCTTGGGTGCTACAGTTGTTAAATGACTCACAATGTCTGTCATCATTTTTGGAACATCACTCCAAAATTTCCTATCTTAATAAAGTAGCTCTTTAGTTTTGTCCTTAAACAATTCACTCCCCATCTCATGTCAACTATGTCTTTAAAAAACTCATGTTAAAATCAACTGTGTGAGAAATATCATGCTAGAGGCTGATAGTCAGTTGT